GTCGGGTGAGTTCTAAACATTCATCTTTATAACAGCCCTTGGCAGTAGGTCCCATTATAACGCCAAGCGTAGACAAGGACACTGAGGCACAGAGAAGTTAAGGAACTTGTTCAAGGACACAGAGCTGGTAAGTGCATTAGAATAGAATTCAAACCCAAAGAGCCGGATCTCCCAATGGGAACGTTCAGCCAGGACGTTCCGCTTGCAGATGAGGGGCGGAGGGCGCAGGAGACCCCGTGGAGCGTTCCTAACCGTGCAAAGCACGTGCAATGCCCAGCACGCAGGGCGATCCCTGAAAGGCCCTTTCCTGCCGCCCCACTGGAGACTGCCAGGGTCCTCCACCTCCCCTCTTTAGGAGCCTTCCAGATCCCTTGCTCTCGCTCCCCCACCGACCAGCCTACGGGGTCATCTCATGCGGTCTTGTGGGGTAGACAAGACCCGAATCCCACTCCCCACGCCCCCCCCCACCAAGCGAAAAGATACTGGTAACCCCAGAATATTCACAGAAACCGGCCCAAGGGCAGCATCTGGCCGGCAGGTCTTGAAGCGGCATTTCAAGGACACAGATCTGTGCTTAGAATGGATGCTGTTTTGGGCGGTTGGGAGGCAGGGCACATGGAAATTGCAGAGGCTGAGAGTCTTCCTCCCCAACAAGGCCCCCATCTAGACGCCGCAGCCGGGTGAGGGTCCCGGCCCCTGGCTGGTCTCCACCTCCAGTCCCTGTGCGCGCTCTGGTCAACCTCGGACTCCCTAGGGGTTTCCTCCTCGACGCCGCGTGGTCTGGAGACCCGGCTCCGGAGTGCTGGGGCTTGGGCGCAGAGACCCTCCCCTCCCAGGCCCGCCCCCGGCCTCCCGCCGCCCGGCCCCCCACGTAGCGTTTGGAACCAGCTCTGCGCTTAGGCAGGAACGAGTGCGGGGAGCGGGCAGGGCGAGCGGAGGCTCTAAATCTTCCTTCAACTGTGAGTAGATGAAGTCTGAGTAACAAATTCAAAGCAGGCGCGCCTGCAAAGCCTTCCTGCAGAAATATGCCCCGGCATTCAAGCGCATCCAGGGGCGGCTCGAGCTGCCTTGTTTGGCTAAGGTCAGACGAGACTCGAGTTCTCCAATAAAAATAAATCTCAAATTAATTATGGCCTCGAGCGAGGGGCCAGACACTTGAAGCTGCAGTTGTGCAGTCTGGAGTTTCGGCGCTCGCTCGCCCATCCCTCCCCCTCCTCCCCCCGCCTCCCCCGCCTCCCCCTGCCAGCTCTAATACCCGCTGTGGCCGCTAGACGCGAGGGGAGGAGTAGAGGGAGGGCGGAGGGGGAGGACCCGCCCCGGTCGCTCCGCCAGGCCGGGCGTCGCTAGGGGTTCCGAGTGACCGGACCGTCCCAGGGTCCGGCGGCACCCCAGGGACGCAGCTCCGGTTGTCGCGCCCGCTCATCCCCAACTCGGGCTGGGGCCGGAGAAGCCCGGGAAGCCTTGTCTGGAAAGTCTTGACCGGGTCAAAAGGGCTGACATTGAGCGAGCCAAGACACGTTTCACCCCGCCGCTTCCCTCCCCGGGGAAGCGGGACTTCCGCATCTGTGAAAATACTGTCACATTCGGAGGGCGCGGGGCGGTCGTGGCACCGCCGTCCCACTGAAAACGCTCCAAACCCGATCGTGTCCTGAGTATTCGCTCCCCCCCCGCCCCCGCCACCTTTACAGGCTTTCTGTAAATGACCCTAGACTGCTTAGAAATGTGAGGTGGGCCTGTTTTGGCGGCGCCCCTCCTCCCCAGTGGGTAGCTTTGGTTTTAAATATTGGACTGGCTTTGTTAGTTGTGAGCTCCCTGACTTGAAAGCCAGGGCCGCCGGTGGACTGGGCACCGGTGGTAGCCGGCACCGGCTGCTGGGCAGCAGCCCTGCCCAGTCTGGGAAAGGGAGAGGCAGAACGGTCTCTGGTAAGCCAGAAAAGAGGGTGTGTGCAAGTGTGTGGGCTGGGGTAAGCAGTCCCTGGCGAGGCCGGGAGGAGACAGGCCAGGGCAGAAAGAGGGGAGAGAAAGGGAGGAAGGCCAGAGGGAAGAAGCGGGGTGAGGAGAGAGCCAGGGAGGGACCGGGGAAGGCAAGGGCTCCCCCCTTCCCGCCCCCGGGACAGTTTTCATTTGTAGCAGGCCTCACCGCAGGCTGTCTATCAATTTGTCTCAATGCAAACATTCGAAATATTCTCTTCGCTGCTCGTGAAAACAATGTGCGCTGCCAGGATCAAACCATCTTTCCAGATGTCTGGTGGTAACCACATTAAACAGGGCAGACTTGTTTACTGTTGTGTTTGGTTAGGGCTTTTCCCCCTTTGGGATTCAGAAAAGCAGCCGCAGCGGGAGAGCGCAGCATCAAATCCAGAGTTACATAAGCGGGCATGCTTACCCACCAGCCTGGCAGAAGGGGTGGGGGTGGGGTAGGTCTGTATTCCCCCAGAGGCCGTGCGCAGCTGGAGGAAGGGACTCTGCCTTCTGGGAAGAGGACCTTGCGGTGGACCGGAGGTCTTCACGAAGGCCCTGGTAAATAAGGAAAGGCATGGCCCTGGTGCCAGTCGGTGAGTCACAAAGTGGTGACAGTTATGCCCATGCCAGCCAGCTGCTCCCCTCCCCCGCACCGTCTTCAACATTATGAAGTTGCCATCGCTCTGGGTTTATAGGCAGAAACAGAAAGTGCTACCGAGTTCCCAGCTAAATCAGGAGGGCAAGTCCTCAAGTCAGCCTGGTAACATGCCGAGCACTCCCAATGGGACAGGCAGGTCCTGCTCAAAGGAGTTGGGGCGCTAGGGATGTTGGGGTAACTGCCCTGGGCAGTGAGGCATAGACAACCTGCCGCTCCCCGGGCTGAACGGGAGTTGGGAAGAGAACCTCGCCAGTGTTTCTGAGGCACAGGGACCGTCTCAAGCACCAGGAAGGAAGGGCCTGTGTAGACGGGGAGAGCGGGGCTGGTGGGGGTGGCCGTTAATGTCCTAAATGTGCGCCCGGCACCGGGAAGAGGGCCTCCCGAGAGTGGAGGTGGAGTCCGTTCTGCCTGCAAGAGGGGCGCCGAGGCTGGGGGTGCCAGGCCCTGGTCTGTCCCAGTGGGAAGCGGTCTCCCCGCACCCTCCTGAAAACCCTGTTGTTGTTTGAAGGTCGGCAGAGTCTGGGCTGAAAAGGAAACAATTTGGGGTTTGAAAGGATGTAATTCATTCTTCCTTTCCCTTTAACCTCTTTCCTCTCTGGAAAGCATGTGGAAACTCTGAAGGGAAGAGTGAGGGGTGGGTGGCTGGGCTGAGGGGAGGAAAGGGTTAAACCTGATTTCTTTTAATTGAACTCCAGAACTGGTGGCCCCAGGCAAAGGGGGGAACTGACCCCGCTAGCGGTAACCAGATGTGGCGGTCCCAGGGGAGCCCCAGAGCAGACCCCTGGATTGAGAAGCAGACAGGAGGTGGGGGGGGGGGGTCGGCCCGGCCCCCATTCCACCCCTACCCCCCCCTCCTCCCCCATACACACACGGAGTCTCAATTGCTGGCAGGCTGCACCCGCCACTCCAGGTCTGGTCACGTTCAGACCCTTGTCTGTATTCGAACCCAAAATTGGAGCTGAATTGATGAGACTAATTTCGAGAGGGGGGTGGGGGAGGGGGGAGGGAGGGAGGCGAGAGAGCTCTGGGGCTCAATTGCTCCTGAAGAAATAAAGAATTAATAAGTCACCTTTCTGCCGCTGTGGACACCCTTTGGAAACTTTTTCCATTTCGATTGACTCGGATCTCCTCTGGATTTTTTTCCCCTCCTTCCCCTGGTGGACTCTTAAATAAAAGTGAAAAGGTCCAAAGCGTGGTCTGGAGAGCGTGGACAAGGTAATCTGTTTCGGAGGTCGGGGAGAAGGGAGCCAGGGCGAAAGAGCCCAGGGGTCCCCTCGCTGTGCCCAGACTGCTGTGGCCGCCCCACTTGTGGGGAGCCGATGCCTCACGGTGTCCGGGCGACCAGGCGGGCAAGCGGAGGCCGGCCTCACGCTGGGTGGGGATGTGGTCCAGAGCACGGCCCCAGGGTTTCACCGGGGAAAAAGTCTGAGTCTGGGCCGCGACGTTGGGTGCTGCTCTCTGGAGACCTGCTGGCCAGCGTGCAGGGAACCTCTCGCCCGAGTGTAGGTGTCCTGGGACCTGGGTGGCATTGCATGGGCGGCTTTGGTCTGGGTGCCCGGGCTGGGGCCATCGAGTCCGGGTTAGCGCAAGGGGGTTGACCCTAGAGGGCGCGGTTGGGTGGCCTAGGGTGTCGCTAATCCCCGCCCTCAGGGGGAGCTCGGAGCTCTCCAGGAGCAGGGGGTCGAGGCGCGCGGTGGGGAGGCGCCCCTCCGCTAACAATGCTCTGGGTGCGGAGTGCGAGACCCCCACCGCCCGCGTCCGTCGGAAGACGCCGCGAGTCCGCGTGGCTGTGTGGGTGAGCCGCTCCGGGAGTCAGCAGCCACTCGGCAGTCCAGTCGGAGTGGAAACATTCCCATTGGATGCATTTTGTAATGTTTGGTTTGCTTCGGTCTGGATCTTCCCGGGCAGTAGGCTCCAGCTTATCCCCAGCCGGAGTATACTCTCCCGTCCCCCATCCCCCGCAAAAAGTTTGACTCGGGCTGGAAAAAGCATTAATGAACGTATCTGTGGGAAGAAACGGAAAGTGAATGAGTCAGGAGGGCCACCTTCGGCCAGCGGCCCCGGGAAAAGGAAGGAGGCCAAAGGCGTCTGGATTTGGACTTTGGGGGAAGGTGTCGGGGGGTGGGTGGGGGGGGATGCAGACTGCGGGAATCAGGGCGCGGGCGCCGGGCGCGGACCCGGGCATTGTTCCCAGCTCGGTCTTATCTCTCAGGAGCAAGTATCCTGTGTGCGCAGCGCATGGATGTATCTGGGCATCTCTGCGTGTATTTATATAGTGTGTGTGATGCGAAAAGCAGGAGCGGCGGAGTTGGGGGGGGGAGTGGATGTGGGGGGAGGGAAGACAGAGGAGAGCGGAGAGAGGAGAGAGCTAGACGAGAGAGAGAGAGAGAGAGAGAGAGAGAGAGAGAGAGAGAGAGAGAGAGAGAGAGAGAGAGATAGGACTTCCTCCCGATTCGCAAAGTGAAGTCACTTCCCAAAATTAGCTGAAAAAAAAGTTTCATCCGGTTAAACTGTCTCTTTTTCAATCCGCTACAACAACAAACGTGCACAGGGGAGCGCGGGCAGGGCGCTCGCAGGGGGCACGCAGGGAGGGCCCAGGGCGCCGCGGAGGCCGCGCCCGGCTACTACGAAGGGGCTGCGAGGTCAGGCTGTAACCGGGTCAATGTGTGGAATATTGGGGGGCTCGGCTGCAGACTTGGCCAAATGGACGGGACTATTAAGGTAAGAGACCGGGCAGTGGGCGCGGAGCGGCGGGGCCGACCGGGGCTGTGGGGCGGCGGGCGCCGGGGTCCCGGAAGACGTGGCCGCTCTCCGTTGCTTCCGCGCCCGGCTTCGCTCCGTCTCCTCCCGCGCGCGGGTGGCAAGTCTCACTAGCGGGGGTTCCCCTCCCGGGTCCCCCGCGGACGATCTCCCCCGCACCCCTTGCCCCAAAGCGGAGCCCGGCCCCCTCCCTCCGCGCTGCCGCCGGGCCGCGGGAGAGGGTGGTTTGAATCCCGGGGGGGATCCCGGGCGCGGATCAGAGACGGGGGCCCGATTTCTCGGGTCGATCACTCCCACCGGCAAGCAGGGCGCCCCGGCCCGGCGCCGGGTACCCATCTGCGGCCGGCGTCCCCCTCGCCCGAGGCTGGAGACGGTGGGGGCGGAAGCCGCCGCCGCCACCAGCTCGGGTTCCCGCCTGGTGGGCCCTGAGGTGGGCAAGCGGAGTGGTTGCAGGAGGATCGGGGCGCAAGTGAATGTTTCTGGGCTCTGTCTGGGCGGGCTCCTCCAGATGGAAGCCCTGTTTACATGTCAGCGCGGGCTGGTTTCCCTTCCTCTCGGTATTTCTGTTGCCGGTTCTCAACACTCGGAGCCTGCGGCTCCCCGGACTAACGGGCCGACCTCGCCGCTTCCCCCGCAGCCTGGGTCCGCGCTGCGCCCCGCTCCCCGAGCCCGGCTCCCGCACACCACCTCCGGGTGGGCGTCTGCTCCGGGCAAGGGCTCCCGGGGTCGTCTCAAAGGAGGTCCCGTGCCCTTCAGAGCCGCTTCCCCTAAGGTGGCCAGCCAAACTCCGTCGCCAACCCCTACCCCTACCCCGCACCCCCAGCTTGGCTAAGGTTGCGAAGTGCAGCCCAGAGGGACGGCTGAGGGTCTGGGTTTCCTGTCCGACCTCAGCGGGTTGACTGCCTCCTCCCTCCAGAAGGGGAAGTGGGGCTAGGCGCCGAGAGAAGGGACACCCCCTAACGCCACTGGCCGGAGAGCAGCGAGGGGAATGAATGGGACCCGGAGTCCGCTGGGCTGCGAGGCGGTTGTGTAACCCCAAGCAGGAGTCTGTCTGGAAAACCTATTAGGCTGGTGAGGTGAGCGCTGGCAGAGCCCGCCGCTCCCCCAGAACCCGAAAGAATCGACTTGGGGCTCAGGGCTGAGTAAGAGAAAGCCGAGATGTTGGGCTTGGAGAATTCAAGAGATTTTTATCATTTGGGTGGAGTAGTGGTTTTTAAAGTTTTTTTTTTCTCTCTAAAAGTTTGAAAGATGCTGACTTAGGTCAAAGGCACCCACAGAGGGAACTTGAAAATCTGGAGATGAGACAACTGAGTGTGATGATGGTTCAAGGGTGCCTGTGTGATCGAGGTTCCTCAAGTTTAAAGCGGGTGGGCGAGGAGCCGGCGAGGGAGGCTTCCTGGAGGAAGGGCGTGGCAGTCACTGGACATCGTGTGCTTGTTGTTCTTCACGTTGGCGAGTGCATGCGAGTGTCTCTGTGTCTCGGGTTAGGAATAAGACCCTCCGCTCTGGAGAACGCCCCCTCACTGAGACACTCAGCGCTTACCCGGAGGCGCCCTCCTGACCAGGAAGAGTGGTAGGTAACATGGCTCTGGGGTCTTGATGTAGACACTCTAAGGAGAAGTGAAGCAATTTCTTCTCCACGATGCTCAGACCTCTAACAGGCCCAGAGCAGAGGGAGGAAGCTGTGGTCTGTACCCAGGATGTGCTAATCTCTTCAGATACACTCACAGGGATTGGCATGGCGGGCAGCGAGAACAGGCTTACACTGAGTCCCTGGTGCTGCACCCAGGAATGTCGTGAAGGTCTTTTTTGTGTGGGTGGTGGGAGCCTGCGAGTCCCTCCAAAGCCTCCCCAGGAGCACCCTGGTCTGTCACCCAGGTGACCTGGCTGTGCAGACCCACCCACAGATCAGAGGCTCGTTAAACCATTTTCACTCCCTGAAGTTCTGAAGGACTGAGTTGTTGAATGTATACTTTGGTATTTAAATAGTCTGAAAGCCACAGTTTCCTGTTCACATGTGACCTTTGGATATTGAGGTTCTGGGACCCCACTTCCACAATGATTTAAACACTGTTCTTGGAGAGGAGAATGGGCAAAAAGAGAGTGGGCAAAAAGAGGTCAGCTCACGTCTGGTCTCTGTGTGAGAATGTACAGTGCATGAAACCTGTTTGAGCTTCAGGATCTTTGCAAAAGTGAAACAGTGGAACTAAATTAGCTCTGCAAGACTATCCTTTCCAACCCTCTGTTCTTAAAATATCATAGCCATGTGTTCTTACAAGAACATATACTGACATGTCTGTGGAATCTGATTCTATACTGATCGAGGTCTGAGAGCTTTGTAGATCACATGTAATCTGCAGACACAAATCCAGAATGGGTGTTGCCAGTTTGAATGGCCTTGAAAAACCATCTTTGAGTAATTCTGAGATGTGATTTTTATGCACCTGCATCTTTCTTCTTCAAATAGAAGGTATGCCTCTCTTTCGAAATGCCTGTCAGTCTCAGCACTGAGAAGAATTTAGTTCAGGATGCCCGAGAAATCTGGAGTTCTTTGCAGAAGCCCTTTATTTTGTGCACAATTCCGTCTGATTCTAAAGTCTCAATCTTACCACCCTTGTTATAATAAGACCTTCTGTATCAGGTCTTCTTCTCATCCCCAAGAACATCTCCTGGGAAGGCTCTGAGCATCGTGTCGGGAGCACCAACGTTGGTGGGGGCCATTCCACTCGTTCTCTGCCACAGACAGTTAACCTGCAGCATTAAACAACACCCTGCCCCACCCCTGCTCCCCACTTTGATATTATCAGTGTTGAAAAGCACATGATACTGTTTGCTGCTCTAAGAAATGACCTGGTTTCAAAAACTGCATCTTAGCTCTAAGCAGTCTTCAATCGAGTCTGATTATTTCATCTGTGGAAGCTTGGTTCAGGGCCCACGGTGTCATCAAAGATGGCAACGCAGTCAAAGAAGACGCAGGCGTGGTGAATGAAATAGGGAAACGGGGAATAGACTTCGAATCAGGGAACCTGGGTCCATTCTCAGCTTTGCCGCTTCGTTGCTGATGGGCCTAAAGCAAGGTGCGCAGATCCTTGAGTCTCAGTTTCCTCATCTGTGAATTGGGGCCAAAGTGTCTTCCCGATATAAGTCACAGTAAGGCTCACACAGGGTCTGTGCCTTAGTTGCATGCACATCAGTTGAATTTCTCCTTCGGGAGAGGTCTTCTGGGGTTTGGTTAGTTAGAAAATGAAGTCGTAGGTCTGGATTTACCATAATACCTGTTTCATGAATTGAACAAATATTAACTACGTGTTTCTTATGTTCGAGGCTCAAAACTCATGCTTTATGTGTTGAGACTAAAATGGAATTTATTTATACTCCAGTGGAGGTGACAGACATGTAGATAAATAATTCTATGTCCAGAGATAGCAGATCTTCTGGGGAACAGTAAAGCAGGTTAGGGGATAAGAGGTGATGCAGTGCCCTGACCGCTGTGGCTCCATGAGCTGGGTATCCTCCTGCAAAGAAAAGGTCACCAGTTCCACTGCCGGTTCAGTCTCGGTTGGTCGGGGTGCATAGGAGAGGCACCACCGATCGATGTTTCTGTCTCATATTGATGTTTCTCTCCATCCCTTTCTCCCTCCCTTCCTCTCTAAAAATAAATAAATAAAACCTTAAAAAAAGTGATGTAGCTGTATCAGCCAGGATGGTGGGGGAAGATGCTTTGAGCCAAGTCCAACGGAGGAGGCCTATTCAGTTTCTAGCCTTTACCTCAGGAAAGTACAGCAACACACAGCCAGCAAATGGTGAGAGAGCAAATGGGAAAGAAAGGTTGAGATTGAAGCTGGGCTCTGCAAACCAGCAGAGTTTCGGTGCCAGACAGGTCCGGGAGGGTAGGCTACCGCTGATGGGACAATGCTTGTCCAGTGGGGCAACTTCAGGATGGTACCGTACCTTGATGAAAGCAGCAGAAGAAAGAATGCCTGGGGATAGAGACTTTATTTCTGTCCTCAAAAAGGGACACTGCCTCCACTGTGAAGAGTGAACACCCGTGCACTTCTTTTTAACCTTCATGTCACCTACATTCCTTTCTCTGTCCCCCTGACCACGTAGAACAGCTTCTTCTCCCCATGTGATCACCGAATGGCAAATTGGTGATGTTTGGGTTTATTTTTGTGGACAATTTCTACAAAAAGGCTTCCTTCTACTTCTGCTGCTATTCAGATTTAAGTTTACAGGTTTGCAAATTTAGAGATTATTTAGCTCAATATTTTCATGTTATGGGTGGGAAAACTAAGGCCCAGAATTGTTTAACGCACTACTCAAGGTCACACAGATAACTGGGCCAGGATGAGAATTTGGGGCTCCTGACCCTCAGACTAACATTTTTTCTACCATACCATGAAGATGTCATTCGCTTTCATCACGTTATTACAAATGACAGAATCCTGGAGGCCAGGTGCGTGTTTGCATGCGTGTGTGTGTGTGTGTGTGTGTGTGTGCCTGAGACAGAAAGACAGACAGACAGAGACAGAAAGAGACAGACAAGGCTTTTTAAAACTCATGGAGAATTTGACACTTTGGAATAAAGATACTTCTATTATTTAATGAAAAATGTATTACTACTACCTTGAATTATTTCCATACTTTAAAAATTTCCAGATTTTCAGCATAACTGTTTTCTAAAATATATCCTTCTTTTCTTGTAGACAAACAAGGTCCGTTACCAGAAGACAATAAAAAATATAGTATTTTACTTAAATAGCCAGTAAGTCCCTTTATAGACCGGGGCAGGTGGGCTGAATTTCATGTCAATTCTGGTAATAATTGACTGTTTGACTACATAATATAATATATTCAGATGCATTAGCACATATCTTATGGACTCATCTTTTAGGCTGGGCAATAAGTAGGTCTTGAATAACAACCACATTAACGAAGATTTAGGATTTCAACGTCTTCTG